TATATTGTTGGGGAGAATATAATTCAAATCACAGTAGGAGACAGGGAAGTAAACTTCACACCTCCAGCTTTCTCAAGACATCCTACTGCTACCAATCCCTTTTGGGCCACAGAGAATTTCAATACCCAGCTACTCCTATTGGCAAATTAGTTCTATGGAAACAATTGCAAGACAAATGAACCCCTCATAGGACCTAAGCTGGCAATCAGTACAAGCATACAATTGTTAAAGAGGAAATTTGAAATCTTGTTTTTCCTTAACTCTCCAGTTACTTGTCCTTCCATCTGCAGATTTTAAAACAATTTTTCTATTTTACATCCTGGTTCATTTTAGCCTATTTCTCTTTCACAGCTAAATTGTGAACACACACCCTTCTAAACTGTGTATACACACACAAGTTCATATGCTAAGGTGCTAATACCTAATACTGAGCATGTTATTGAAAGGATTTTGCCCTAGATAGGACACTACAGCAGTGAGAGGTGGGACCAAGGTTTACCTTGAAGTCATTGTCCCCTCATCTAGGCAATTTACCTGTGGGGCGAAATGAATTCCAATGGGCTGCCTGCGCATCAGCAATGCCCTCTTTAGGCACCACCCCAGAGCAAAGCTGTATGCATGCCCCTCACACCACATGTGTGGCAGAGAAAGCCAGGACCTGGCAGTCGTGGAGTTTCTCTCCACATCCTTAGCATAAAGGCCACTTTTACTTTATATTCTCTTACTTTTATCGTGCCAAAAATCCTATCAGTTATGAGATGGTGCCTTTAATGAGATGATTATGGTAAAATGAAGCCATATAGGTGAGCTTACTCTAATATAGTTGTTCTCATAAAAAGAGGAAATTAGAGCATAACACACAAAGGGATGACCATTTACGAACATAAAAAGAAGATGCCCATCCATCTACAAGCTGGGCTAGAAGCTTCAAAGAAATACAACCCAGTATCTCTAACTATGGGGAAATAAATTTCCATTGTTTGACCCATCCAGTATGTGACACAATTAGTGGACAGCAGAGTAAGGACAATTAGTTGGTTACTAATAAAAAAGAACACTGATAAATTTGTATCTCTCAAATCAAAATCATAATATGGATTTTATACCATATTTTAGTAATAGGTATTTGCTAGGAACAAATATCTGTATTTTTAGCCATATGTGAAGTGAAACTTATCCTAGCCTTGACCAATATCCCACATGCTGTCAAATATATACTTAGCAGCCATCACCAAACTGCACATAAGCATTCTACAGTAATCTACGGAGTAAGTGCGAGGTAATATTGTCATTTGATATGCAAGAGAAATGAAATTTTAAAGGTTATGATTCAGACGAAAATTTTTTACAAAACAGAAAACTATGACACAAACTAGTGAAGTATTACTCAAATTTAGAGTTAAATAGTTAAACTTGAGACTCTAGTTCATATAATCTTAAGCACTGTAAAAATATATCACCGTCAAACTATGATCAAAAGTTGGAGTTGCATGGTAATATGAATGTACTCATTACTGAACTATACACTTAAAAATGAGATGGTAAATTTTTGTGTACTTTATCACAACTCAAAAAACAAAATTAGAAGTTCATATTATGAAAAAATATAGTATAAATCACTACATATGATTTCTACTACACAAATTTCTAACATAATAAATCTAACTACTTATAAAAATAGGAAAATGGGGGGCTAGGGATTTAGCTCAGCAGCATAAGTGCCTGCCTTGCAACAGGCAGTCGAGAGTTCGATCCCTGGTACCGATAAAAAGGAAAAAAAAAAAAAGACAAAAAAAATAGGAAAATGTGTATAATACCTAAGTTTAATAATTATTTAGAATTTAATGAAGTAGTATTTTGTAAACTTTTTTTCCTAGTTTTAGAAGTAAAAATGCAAATGGTATAACAGTGAAATACAGTGATTTAAATTAGCTCCAATCCACTGTGGAATGAAGGCAAACTAACTAGATTATTGCTAACTATATTCTACGATAACAAAATAGCAAAGCAGGTGGCGGTCACTATGACTATTCACAAATATTCTAGTCTTCTCTCTTCCTGGATATTTGACTGAAATCTGCCGCTTGAAATCAAAGTGGAAGAGATGTGTGTTATATTCAAGGAGAAATTTTAAAAATCACTATGTGCTTCAGAATATTCTCTTCTTCCCTCTGCTACAGTGATGGGCAGTATTTTAAAGACTTGACTCCACAGGCAGGAATCCAGAATAAAGACAATAATGAAAAGGAACAGTGTTAATAGCAAGCCCACAAAGTACAGATAGAGTAACCAAAAATAAATCATATTAAGTCATTTAGGTTTTGAGAATATTGGTTACCACAGCATAGCCAGATTATACTCTGACCTGATACAGAACATAAACAATGAATATTAATCACTTGTACAAAGAAAAGAAATACAAATTCCAAGAAATGAATGATAGAAGAATAAGCAGGGAATGACAGGATTCTCCTCTGTTCCTGCCTGGGAAAGCTGTTCTAGCATATCTACCAGCGAATATGCAGGGCATTACAGAAAGTAATAAAAGCCTCAGAGCTGAGGTGCAGAGCAAGTACTGTTGCTATGAGCAGGTGCCAGAGCTGGGGGAAAGCCTTGATTGTACCTAACCCTTCTCCATCTACAGGTAAGTGCTAAGGAAACCTGGATGCCTCCAAATGAATCATTGCAGCCATTTAAACAAAACTTGGTCTTTGGAAAATACTATACAAAAAGATTTATCCATGTGGGGCCAAAGGCCATTTCTTGGCATTTTAAGCTTAACAGCTAACAAATAAGTTTGGAGTCATCCTAGAAAATCTCACCCAGAGAAATTACTTAAAAGCCTTGTTTACTATCTCCATAGTGAAGGCCAAGAACCTATACCTTCTCTTGTCAGCGAGGTGATTCAAAACTGTGAAATCTATAGCATATTTCATTTGTTACTTTTAGAACTACTGCATACAATCAGCACCCAACCAATGAGAGGAATGGTGGAAAACACTGAGGTTTCACACATTACACAGAAAGGCAGCTTTTCTGTACTTCACACAAAGGCACCTTTCCCTTGCCAAAATTTGCCTATATGCACCTTATAGACTGGATTTCCGTTCCCTGTGCATGTTTTCTAGAATTTCCTAATGATCATATTTATAGATTTTATTAGAGGATGTACTCCATTTCTGACCATCATCAACTTTTGATTCTTAGATTCTTTGAGGTTTGATCCTTACCCTATGAAAACTTACCACAATAACCTAGGTTTAGAACCCATACTGCCACATTCCTGTGCCCAGTGGAAAATCACAACAGGTCACTAGCTAAGAAGTACCAAAGATAATTCTTTTGCCAGAATTCTAGTTCCTGGCAGAATCTCTCCATTGAACACTGGTCCGTGAAATAACAGTGGAAGCGATGCATTTAACTAACCAAAAAACATCATTCTGATGTGTTAAAGTCCAGAGCTTCTTAACTTTAATGCTATTCATATTTTGAACCAGATAATTCTTTGCTGAGGGCACTACACAGTTCATTGTAGCATAGGTAGCAAAATTCCTAGTCTTTGCCCACTAGATGCCCTCCCACACTTAAGACAATGAAAAATGTCTCCAGACATTGCCAAATGCAAAATCACACCAGTTTAACAACTGCTCTCTTAGATATTCAATTCAGTTACATTTCCAGCAGGGGGCATGACAAAAGAAGTATATCCTCAGATCAAGATGTCCATTGCCATCTCCATATGCTCTTTGGCATTTGAAGCTGATACACAGCTTCCCCTGAGATCCCATTGGCAAACAAATTAAGAAACTCTATCCACAGTTGAGAGGTAGGCCTAATTCTCAGCAGCTGGAAAACTGAACCTTGAATGTTAGAGTGCTCCTCTTCCCCTACTCCACTCTTCTCTCTTAACAACTTTCCATTCACTTTTTCACTTCTCCTAGAAATAGAAACACGATTCAACTGAAGTCACTCAGATGATTTATCTCCCCACACAACACACAGACCAACAGCAAAGGTCCACTGACCCAGGTCTTGTCTCTATGCCCACCCTCCACATCCCCTCCCCAGTGTAGACACTCCTTGGCATTGGTTGAAAAGGTCTGAATTGCCATATAACCAGAGCTGCTTTATCTTGATAATCTGGAAGACCACGGGGGCACAAACCCAAATCTACAGATTGACCTGTGTGTATAACTTAAAGAGTAATTTACAGTTTTTAAACCAGAAACATGGCCTAATACTTGGATGAAAAAAATTGATTATGTCTTTAACACTGACATTAACATGAAGCATACATAAAAATTTGAAATACGACTAATAAACATTCTTTTTATTTTATCACACCTCATATAAGAATATGGAAGACAATACTTAAAAAAACTGGAGTCAAAAGGGCCTTTTAATTAATGATCAAAGTTTACAAGTTGTATTAGAAGAGATTTCTGTTCCACTTTTACAAATTGATCTTGTAGATACACTTGGCTATGTGGACAGACATGTATTCAACATAACTACAATAAAACAAAAAGAAATAAATGTCCACTAATGAAGACAGGCTAAATAAATTATGTTATTTCTATATAAAAATAGTATGTAGTTATAAAAAATAACTATACAAGATTTCAGTGTACTAATATTAGATGCTCTATTACACACACTGTATTACACACATTACTTCTCACTGAAGTGAGAAGAGTTATAGAAGAACTATACAGTGGCTTCAGTTTTGTGCAAAAAAAAGCTATGTAAAAATTTTTGCTTTAATACAGAGGCTATATTTATTTCTAGAAGGAAATAAAGGAAATGCATGCGGTTGTCTTTGGAAGAAAGATGGGTCTGACAAAGAAGAACTCTTGCTTTTACTGTACATCCTTTAAAGTTTTAGTACTTTTTAGACTGCATATAAAGTTTATCACAAAAAAATTAAAGGATTAAAATTTAAAGAAAAATGGGTGAACATAAAATACCAAATATTCTGTATGGGATGAGAGAAATCTTACCTTTCTCTGCAAAATTTAAGTGAATGTAGTATGGCAGGCCTCTTTTGACGTAAATTCCATAAGTGTAAGGTGTCATCAGCCAAGGCACTCACAAGAGCTCCCTTAAAAATAAAGTATATTTTATACATAATACCACTCTACAAACACTAATGCTATAGTAACTACCAAAAAGTCTCAAATTTGGAAGCTTCCTACCAATGGATTTAATTTTAAGAAACATTTACCTTACCCAATTTCTAAACAGCAGATGTTGAGTATATTATGTGTTTATATATGTAAATGTATGTTTTACCTTCTTCAATAATTTAAAGTATAATTTCGTATAAGTCAAAAGTATACTAGGATCCAGTGAGGATCACAGATATTTAAAATTAGACATCAGAATAGAAACTAATCTATCACTACTATAAATACTTCCATGATTAACAGATCCAAGCATGATACAAAGTAACTTCATTCATTTGGCTGAAGGCAAATTCTTATGAAAGCACTATACCTAACCGTAATTCTACTGCTAAAATGGAATGGAAAACAAAATTCAGCACACTGTAAGGTCAGTACCTGAGTGGTTAAATTAGAAAGTTAAAACATCTGATGCAATTAGGTGCTACTATTTATGAGGAAAAAAATGCCTGGAAGTATGTGAAATTCATTTAGTTGGCTCAGTCTCACCCAGACCGCCACCCCCCAAATCAGAATTTAATGAACAAGGACCCACATGAGTGTACTTTTTTAAAAACTTCTGAGGTGAGTGATGTGTGAATAAGGCTAAGACTCTTTAGGCTAAAGATTAATGTATTAGGACATCTAAATGTTTTTCTTCAAAGGAGCCAGACACCCAAATGGGGTAAGAAATATAAACTAAAGAATTTATATTCATCACATAAAAGATTTGCAATTCCAATTCTTTATGTTATTATGAGAAATCCTAAAATCTTCTCCTTTCCTTATTTCTCCAGAAGTATTAAAACAGTTGTCAAGACAAAATTTACATAAACTGATCTCTCCCCACTGCTTTCTATCTTCAAAATTCTATCATGGGTACTCTACTGTGTAGCTCCTATTGCTATGGCATGACTGCTGGAAAGCTGAAATACATAGTCTGTAAGCTCTCTTTTTTTTACTACAAAGCATGCACTATACTTCAACCCTGAAAAAACTATACAGTCACAAATCATTTAGATGATAGCTTTTATATTACTATCTTTAGCATTTTACTCCCATGATGCCTTTTGTAAATTCTGCTATGAATATTTATTCAGTCGAGGTATTCAGTAATTTATTTACTCCCATATCTAAGAAATTATTCTAGCCAAGTGTGGTGGTACACGCCTATAATGCCAGCACACAGGAAGCTGAGACAGGAGGATCTTTGTGAGTTTGAGACTACCCTGGGTTACAAAGTGAGCTCAAGGCCAGCCTGAATTGCATAGAGAGATCTTGTCTCAAAAGACCAAAAAAAAAAAAAAAAAAAAAAAAGAATTTATTCCATGGAGTCTAAGAATACAGGAATAAAAAGAATTTTCATAAACTATTCTTTTATCTAAAGATTTCATTTCTAGGGTTCTATAACGTTCTTATTTCTCTGATTAGTTTTCCTTGTCTGTCACTACTTGCAGTAAAGATCTATTCTCAGAGCTGCTCACACTTTTTAAAAATCTGCCACCACAGCGTTTCCTGTGCTAACAGTGTTTTCTCCAGCTCTTTTTATATTTTATACTCTTACCAAAAAGAAAGGCATCATCAATTACTTCAACCAGTAATTGACAAAACTAGACAATAATCATTTTAAAAATAAAGTTGGACTCCTATTTTCATTTTAAAACAATTCACTAACGTTGGCTAGGGCTATAGCTTTGTAGTAAAGTGTTTGCCTAAGCACTGAAAATGCCTGAGGCCCTAGGTGTGACCCCACCACCAAGACTGAAAGCAAGGGAAAGAATAAAAGAATGAAAGAGAAATTCATTAAACGAATTCTGTTACTTTTAGAATAGTTTATATGGATTTCTGTATATTACATAACTTTTGAACTTCCTCAAATATAATTTAAATGTATAATATTACCTTATACCAACCATTTTATTCACAACACTGCTTTGAAAAAAAAAATGAAGCAATTTCCTATGATGATACCTTATAATGAATTACTATTACTTCACAAAGAATTACTATTATTTCTGACCCATCAGAAATTATTTTGTTTTCAAATATTTGAACATCAATCCATGCAAGAAATCTGTAGCCCAATTTCAGATATAAGAAGGGGAGAATAAACAATTCACCCACCTCATTAATCAGGAACTGGAGTTGGATTACTGCAGCTCCACTGTCATGTTGGCAATAACATTCTACCCCAGGACGACCAAAGCTGTTATTAATCCCATTAAGGAGTGTTTGGTATATGTGAGGATTTTTAATTTTGTTTAAACTTATTTTAACTTACATAAACTAATATTCTAATGACCTACTATCATCCCATACATGACTTAGTGAAGTTGAGATTTCAAGTTAAGTTTTTAAAACACATTACAGGTCTACAAGAAATAAAAAAATTGTTTCTTCCGAAAAAAAAAATGAAGTGCTAAAATCAGCAATGTACAACAACAAGAAAACATTACTCTGGCCCGAGTCATTTCCCTTCTCTTAAAATATAAAAAGAGGAGGAAAGGCAATCTATAAATCACTAAATTTTGCCCAAATCAGCAAACAATATTAAAAAGAGGCAAATGTCATTTTGGAATACTGCTTTTAGATGCAATAAAAATTCTGCTCTCACTTTTCTCAATATTGATTTCATTCCTTTTTTCTTTGAACAGAAGGTACTATGAAGCTGCAGCCAATTCCAAAGATCGTATCATCAAAATGGCACCAAAAGGAGGCAGAGAGAGAGTTCATAATAAACTGTCACTTCATCACAACAAAAACTCTAAAATTAAGTTTTAAAGGATGAATGCTGCATACACATAGTCATAATACAACAGCATGAAAAAAGAACATTAATTGTCGAGGTTACAGTCCTCAATTGTATGTTTGATGTCCAGCACTACTCTAAATTTTATAAAGCCAAATGGCCAGAGAAAATTTGAGTAGGTTGGTTTATTTATTTTAGGTACCACAAGAGCATCCAAGGCACAATGAGAACTGAAGTTCTCTACTTTAAAGTTAATTCTTATGCCAGCTCTGCCATTACTTGCTGGGGGAGGGGGCTATTACATCTCTCAACTTTCTAATCTATAAAATGCTGGTAAGACAACCTACAGAATTTCAGTGAATATTAAACCATATAAATTATACTCAAATGGTAGTCATTATCATGACCACAACATAGTTATCAGCTAAACTTAAAGGTTTCCACATAATGCACATGCAGAAAAATCAAAGTGTTTTAAGTAGAGGGAGAAAAAGTCCAGTATTTAACTTTATACATTACGGTTCCTGCAAATTTGCATTTATGCATCAATTATAAAAGCCTACATTTTCTCATGTAAACACTATAGTGACATCATAACTTTTAAAATACATTTGTGTGAAGAATTTAAATTAGATGAGGTTGAAAGGAAAACAACAGAGCTTGAGTGCTTTTAATTTTAAAAATGTATTGCTTGCTAGAATTAAAAGTGTTTAAGAAACCCCCCAAAAATAGCTACAATAGAAAAAAATTTGTCACAATATATATTATTCATTAATTTTCAGCTTTTAGAATCAAATGGAAAGTTTATTCTAGACATAATTGTGTTGGAAAAAGAAAGGAGGAAGAGAAAGGAAATAAGCATGGGAAAGCAATGAGTTAATACTCTTATTTTAAAAAGCAGGAGAGCAAAATCCAGTATGCATAGAGCAATAAATACTGAATTAATTATAATACAGTTATTCAAATTTAGGGAAATAACCAACAGAGAAAGTAAAAATGTTAACTATAGTGGAAGCAGAGGAGAGAAATTAAGCAACTGTTTATCAATGCAGGAAATCAACACATAATTTCTAAAGTTGGTAAATTAAGAAACAGTGGCAAAGCATTTTGTTTAAAGTTAGCAACATGACCAGAATCAGCTAAATGGTTCCCTCTGGAGAGTAGGAGTATGCGTGGGCAAAGCAAAGCACATACTTTTTATTATAGCCTCTGCTATACTAATCTTTAAACCATGAACATAGCTTTACAAATTCAGTTTCTTTTAGTGTGTTTTCAAAGTAGGGAAAAGTAGCAGACACAATCAGACACAACATTGTGGGTTTACTGCACTATGTTACTATAGTTGTCCTATACATTACTATATAAGACATGGTTTACTGATTTATTACTACCAGAAAAAAAGAAATGAGACCTTTGTTTCATGCTGCTTCACACAATGGAACAAAAAGCCCCATGTCAAGTCTTTCTCACATCTCCATAATCACGGATGGATTCTTTTCAGCTGTTTTACAAATTTGGGATTATTTTACAAACTTGGAGTTATTAGATAAATTAAAGGGGAAACAAAACAGAATGTGTTGCACTAAAAGACCCAAGCTTGTCCCCATGTTTTCCCATACTGTAGCTCACAGGAGATAAAGGTGGCAAGCAATAAAATGAAATTCCTTGACCTATTCACTTCTTTTATTTTTTATTTGAGAATTTTAATAGGTATTAAGGATTCAAATAATAATCCTTATCCTCTGGAATCTCTACGTCTAACAACAGAAATACAGAAATAATCCAGCAGTTGAATTCACAGATACCCTAAAGTACAAAAAAAAGTGTAGGTAAAAATATTGCTTGAAAAGAAAAAAAATTCAATTATTTTCAAAATAAGAGTTTTTATTCAAGATGTGAGCATTCCTTACCCTGTTTCAAACGCCCACATGTTCTTTTCCTTTCTCTTCTTACTTATAACATATTTATACTGGATTCCATAGCTTTTTAATTTCTACATTCTGTGATTGAACTATAGGACTGTTTAAAAGCAAGCCATCTTATAGGCTAGGTATCCTTTAGTTCAACAGGAACGTGACCATCTGATCTCTTTACCCTCAGAGTCTAGAAAAGTTATATGACACATAGTAAACACTCAAGAAATATTTACAAATAAGCTCTTTCAAAATCTAAGAGACATGCGTATATCCAGATATGCCTTCCTAGACCTAATATTAGCATATTTTTTGAAAAACAGAAAGTATAGGATAATAGAAAGATATTCTAGTCCTGCCTTTACCAGCACAATTTTTTTAAATTTTTTTTTTGTCTTTTTCTTTTTTTATCGGTACCAGTGATCAAACTCAGGACCACACTCTTGTAAGGTAGGCGCTTAAGCCACTGAGCTAAAACCCTAGCCCCTGTTACCAGCACAATTAAGCAAACTATCGCTAGGGTGTATTAAAGTTCTTAAAATTTCACAGATCTACATTTCTAGCCTATTTATTTTACCTTCTAGTCATTTATTACATGGCTATTATAATCACAGTAATTTTTCTCTTAGCTTATTCTGGCTTCTGGGATTGTTAGTAAGGTTAAAATGAAAATGTAGTTTAAAAAATAAAGCAACCAATGGGACTAGTCAATAGTTAGTTCTGAAAATATAGCTCCTAAACAAATTTTCAGTGTTGTCACTACCATTGGGAGTTATGAAAATGGCTGACATATATACTGACAACCTCTGCTTTTATGCATAATGTAACAGTATCAAGAATGGTATATAGTTAGCAAACTATTAACATTATGAAGATTTTGAAGATCATGGATCTTCCCAAAGTATCTTTCATCAATTCCTGTCAACTAAAACAAACAAAAAAAAAATCATGGCATTATTTTAATCTCTACAAAGGTGACATATTTTAATTTCCCAATCTAGAAATGGAAGATTTTATACAGTACATATCAAATAAAAAAAATGGAGAACTCTGACATTCTTCATAATATCTGAAAATACACATTTACATCCTGCAAATTTAAAGACAACTGTAAGAGTACTATATTTTCCATAAACTCTTAAGTGACTAATAAATTATCCCACAGTATTATGCTTTTAATTATCAAATATTTGTAAAATTTTGAGTAGATACTGTACTGCCAAACTCAGAAAGATTTTTAAAGCCAACTGTTTCTGCTGCTTCAGTAAAAAAAAGTAAATCCAAGTATAATTTTAATTTATCAAGAAAAATAGTAACTTGTTAATATTTCCTTTATCTCATTCTCATACTTTTAGCAAACAGCAAAGTATAATAGTAAGTATAATAGTAAGCCTTTAAGGTGTCACTACTCCAATCTGCCTTCCTACTTTGTAAACAAAAGGTCAGCTGATGAGTTCTTCCATTTAGTTGTGTTAAGTCTTACAGAGACTTTTGTGGTTATTTTTCAGTAATAAAGTTAAAATATGAATACCACTGCAATACTGTTAATACTAACGAAAGCATTTGTGAAGTAAAAAGATGAGTTTTAGCATAGGACCAATATTCGTATTTATTCTGTGTGAACACAAACACATCACTTAGCATGAGTTTTCTGCATCTGTAATTCCACAGTTATGATGAATAAATACAACTGGTCAATAACAGGGGTGGCACACTATACACTTATCTTACTGAAGATCATGTAACCTATTAACAAGTTAAAATTGGGGGTGGTGACATCAGTGGTAGAGCACTTGCCTAGCATATGGAAGGCCCCAGGTTCAATCCTCAGCACTGTAAATAAATGAATAAAATTGCTATAAGCAGTAAGTTGCCAGGAAAAAAATGGAAAGTCACAAAGATTTACGATAGTTAAAACAACTTATATGTGCTGTGATTTTTTAATCCATAAAATGTCACCTGCCTTCTTCACCAGATCAGAGTAATCATCTGAAGTTTAGACTTTTTATGTCATAATTACATTTATATAGTTTTTTCTACTATGAGTCTGGTCCTCATGTCTAGTGATAAATTGCTAGGGAAAAAAATTGCACTGAAACCTGTAATTCCAGTTTTCATTCCAAATATTTCCAAATATATTTTTCCAGTTTCACAGCCCTTCCTCTGAAGGTAGCATAGAATCAGAGCAACACTCATCACATCTCAGGATGTAACTGCCTTAAAATGACATTCTCTCTGCACACATAGTAATGAATACATTTGTTACCTACCATCTGACTCACTAGGAATACTACTATGTAGACTGTCAAACATTCAAACAAGTATTTCTCAATTCTAGTCTGTATTACAAGTATCCATGGAGCTTTAAAAATAGCAGATGTCCTATCTCATGCCAGACTCATAGAACCAGAATCTATACAAAAGAAATCCAAGCATGGATTTCAGTCTTATTTGTAAGCCTTTTTCACAGATTATTGCAATAAATAATGTATCACCTTACTTCTTACTTTCTCAGATTTTCTTTTTCCTTTCTTCAAATAATCG